TTTCTTAATTTTTTGATATTTCTAGTTTACACAGTTTGTGAGTTTTTTCAAATTATCACAAATTTCTGAAAACTTTTCCAATATATTAATTGAAAAAATTTCTCACATACGTGGACATGTGCAGTTCAAACCTGAGTTGCTTACGGGTTAACTGTACTAACTGGCCACAGAATGGGTGCTAAAAATGTAAATGATTGTTTGGTCTTGAAAATCTTTAAGTCTGCTTCCTTTATTATTATTTTTTAATGTTATCATACTTGCTTTTAGTCCCGCCCTGGCCCTTTAGAAAATGATCCTTCTCCTGAAATAGCCTGAAGGCCTCTGTAGTTTAAAGCAACCTAACATGATGCTGTATACAGAGATTTAATGAACAGAGGAAACAGCACAAGTCTGACATATGCCCCCTGAACACAAGAAAACTCAGAATCGTGCAATACTCAAAAAGTCCTTCAAGGTACTGGAAATTCTCCAGCTTCTTCCCTGAGTTCCTGACCTCTACCCCAGACTGGCGACTTGGCATCCTCAGCTGTGTGTTTGGTGTACTCAACAACCAGAAACCTCCTGCACATACCTGATCCTCTGGGGGAAGCCTTTCAGTGGGTTTCTTGCCAGCTTGCTCACCATGCAGCTGGGGGTGGGTCTTGTGGGGACATGAGAAAATGTCCACCACCACCAGGAGCAAAAGGAGCCCAAATCCAGTTTCTTTTCTCTGAGCTTCTTCCCTGGGAGAGGATGTTCCTTTATGCAGATTAAAGAGCACAAAAAACAAAGAAAGCCACAGTACTGAACTTAATTTCAAGTATCACTCCTTTCCTAAAAATGGTTAACTGGTCGCTACATGGTCTCATTCTTATTGCTAATAAACAGTAAAGGTGCCAAGAAACTGAAGCAGCACAGGGGAGAAATGGAAGAAACCAAGGGTTTAGATCATTTGTGAAAATGGATATTCAGTCTTTGAATAATTAAAGATATCCAATCTGTAGAATGTTAAAGAAATCCCTAACCTACATTTATGTTAGAACATATCATTACTAGTCCAGGACATTAAAATTTTATCATAATAGTTATGGACAGTTCTGCCAAAGAATCTCACTCATTGGCTATCAAAATAAGGGAAATGCTGAATTATAGAATACCATACTTTGAATATTTAATAAATTAATCCTCTGTGCTGATAGTAGGAGTTCTAGAAATCATGGCTGTTGTATGACAGCACTTAGTCAATATACTAATTAATAACAGTTGTTTGAGAGCAAGTCAATGCCTAATAGGTTAACAACACAGATTGGAAGTACAGAGAAATCATACCCAAAGTTAAATTCATTCTAAAAAAGACCATTGGTAGTTATGAATACTTAAAGCAAAGGAAAGAAGATTGGAGCTTTTGTCAGAGTTGAGTCTTTTGAGAGTTCCTGGGTCATTAAACAGGAGCTTATTCATATAAATTTTGGCCCTGGTATCTGGATCTTTCGTATTTTTCACATAACTGATTTGTACCAGATTCTCTTGGGTGCTCAACAACAGATTCTGACTCTGAAATCCATACCATTTCTCAAAGGGGGAAGAAGAGGAGGAGGAAATAGGTAGAGACGGAAAGGAGGAGAGAAAGAAGGGGAGGGAAGAAGAGAAGGAGTAGAGCATGGAAAAGAAAGGGGTAAAGGGAGGAAATGTGGGAAAAGGAAAAGAAGGGGCAGGGAGGAGGAAAAGATGGTAGTGGGGCCACGGAGGGATTGAGGAAGACCAGAAATCTCATTCATTTTGACGTAGGAGGTGGACTCCAACTTTTTTGTATAAAATATTTTCAAGTGAACCCCTAGATATATATATAGTGGGTGGTGGGAGCTCCCTATTTCTAGAGAACTTAAAAAATACTATATAATCAATCCTTGATTAGGACATAAATACTTAATTTTAAACTTCTAAGTATTATATAACTTAAATACAAGTTTTTTTGTAGATTTAAATGATTCAACATTGAGATGGTACAAGTTAATTTTCTTACGGAATTAGATTTTTGTTTTCTCAGCATAATTGTATGACATTTGGTAGAAGAAAGTTTAATGCCGGGGGAGAACATGCTGATAGTGACTTTGGAAGCTTCTGGGCAGGTGCTTTCCTGGAATCGAGCAGATGATTGTTAAGACAGGAAGAGGAAGGAGATGCTGAAGAGGTTTGCCCCTGTGACCATTTACATCTGGCTGGTTTACATCTGTTTTAGGTTTGCTGTTCTGGTCAGGTCTTCTTGGCAACTTATTAAATAATCTGATAAAACTGATAAATATATTAGAGTAGGCTAATGATGGGGATTCCCACTTCCTGAGTTGGTCTGCCTGCACTTTCCTACAGAAAAGTCCTGTTTCAGCCACCTGAACTATAATTTTCTTGCCCCAAGGATATTATGGTGAAAAGATATTAATCTAAGTAGAAGGCATTGCTTTAATCCCTACACTTCATTGGTTTGATGAAGTTTGAGGAAAACAGGAATAACTCAAGTGTGTTGAGGATCAGTGATTTCACATTTAAAAAGCATAAAGCTTATTAATGGTCTTGAAGAGAAAAGATTCCATATGAATACAAAACCATCATTATCACTGGTAACATATCCAAATATCTTGCCAACATTTTTCTGATTCAGACTGTTAAATTTCATATTAAAATATAATAAAAAGATATTCATTTTAAAAACCCTTGTAAACAGACAAAGCTTGAAAAACAGAAAGTATACTTAGGAAACTCCACACAAACAAGCACATTTTAGGATACTTTTCCCAAGTGATAAGGACAGAGTTAGGATGTAACAAGAGCAGGAGTAGCTGAAATTTAATTGAGGGCTAAGCATCCATTAGGCACTGTTCCACCTGCTTTCAATATATTATCTTATGTAATTCTCACAAAACCCTTCTGTTCTCTTCCTGTTTCATCGATAAGGAATCAGCAAAGCAAAAATTCCACAGAATGTACTGGTGTATACAAAGAGAACGGAAAGAATCTGAGAGTCTATCTTATATATCCCAAAACAAGGATGTTGAAAAGTGTTTAGTAGACACAGAAGACAATAAAGCTGGTAAAGTTGGTATAAAGGGGAAAGAGTATAACAAAAAAAGCATATTCATTAGACCAAACTAGGCTGTCAACTTGATTTAAGGAACTCTAAAATTATAAGCTACATTTGTTTTGTTTTCTTAACTTAATGCTACTTGGTGTGCTGAAATGCTTTTAAATCTCTGTAGTACCTGTCCGTATACCTCAGAAAGGGCTTGGCTCTGGGCAGCCTCTGTCTCTTGAGTCAAACTGGCTGCAGAAATCTGACATCTTGGTCACAAACATATTACGTTGCCATCACTTTAAGCATAAGCAAAGTAAATACACTTTAAGCATAAGTAAAATAAAATTTTAAAAAACAGATGATAGTAATAATGGTAATATTTTTTGAGTAACAGCAATATGTTTTGCTTTGATTGGGCAGAATTGACCTTAACATGGGTCTTATTTAGCCTTTTAAAGTAAATTTCTGTTTTTCTTTTTCATTTCTTCAAGAAGAAAAGGGCTAAAATAGGCTCAGTACTCTACTAGCACTTCGCTGGTGACAGTGGACTATTTAATTGGTTTTAAATAACATGGCTTAACTGTGGCTGTCAGTAAAATAGGGGCCTTAGCATACCACAGGCACCCACACTGGGTACCACAGGCCACAGAGAAGCACTTAGTAGTTGTGTGTAATCAAATTTGTGAAAACTGATCCGGAAGAGCACTTCATTATTTACAGGAGTGCTGTAATAAATCTTTTGCAAACTATAGAATCCATTTGTAATGTGAAATGTCTCCTAATTTGTGTTTTTAAGTTTGAATTTTTGTGTACATGTGGTCTTCATAAAGTAGGACACCTCTGGAATATATGGAAGCCCAGGTAAATCTAAAATATTCAAATGTAATATTCATTCATTTGTTCACTCATACTCTGAAATGATGCCATGTACTAAGCATCATGCCAGGCCAGAGGGATGGCCATGATGAAGTCCACTAATGCCTTTATGGTGCTCAACTCAGTTAGGGAGGAGAATTCTGATGCCTTAAATATTCCTCTCTTGGAAAGTCAAAGATGAAATAAGTACCTTCCTCCTGCAAAACAGCTATCCAATCATTTCTTGAAAGCAATGCCATAGGTAATCTTTTTGAAATCTCCTTGTCACATATTAAACAACACAATAATGTGATGAATTTGTGTTGTCATAAAATATCAAGTGTGAAAATGAGAACTGCCAGGTCTCGGGGAGCTGAATGCCCTGGAGCCCTACGCTGTAGCTAGAGGTTGGGTGTTTCAGCGTTTCCGCCTGAAGGGACCTCAGACTCTTGTGTTCACCCTGCCCCTTCCTCAGTCCCATCCCCTACTTTGTTTTTTCAGAGGAAGAAACTCGTGCTCACAAAGGTTGAGAAAGTAGCTGAAACCGGAATCAGTCAGAGCTTTTTCATCCCCAGACTTTTTAGCTGATTTGCTGAATGATTCTGCTCCTCCTTCTCAGAAAATCTACATTAATGACATATTTTAGGGCTTGAGGGGTGTTCTCTTGCTCCCTTTTGGTTAAACTTACATGCTTGTAAGTAGAAGGTGTGATGGCAACAGATGATGGATGGTAAAAAGAACTTCTGCAAGGACAGCCAGAGGAGAACTGCTCTGGGCTTATGTCTCCTTGGCCCTTACCTGACTCGCCAGTCCGCCTTAACTCCGCCGGCCACTCTCAGGATTAGGCTGGTGGTAGGGTGAAACTACAGATCCCAGGAGGCCGAGGGCGTCCCTCTCAACCTCTCCGTAAGCAGGTCGCTCCCCTCGTTGCATTCTGGGAAATGTAGTTTCTTCCAATCAGTAACTACTGTGCTTGGAAAGCAAGTTATTAAGTTTGAGGGATCCGCCCCTCCACTGGCCCCGCCCTCTCCATTGACCCCGCCCCAGGTTGCTCAGGAGATCAGAGACGCCGAATCCTGGTCGGTGTTGGCGTGGGGAGCAGAATAGGTACAGAAAGAAATCCTCCGAGGTCTGAATGTGGCCCGCCTCAATGGAGAGTTCTGGCAGCTCCTGCCAGGACTGGTGCAGCAGTAGGCAATATTGGTTTGAGCTCGGACCCACGGACTTGCTGCAGCGCAAGGGCTCCCTCACCCTCCGCTCCCATCACAAGAAGTACTCGAAACCCGTGTTGGTGTATTCTTGGTGAGCGAGCTCGCTGCAGTTCCCGGCTGCTGGGGGAAGGGATGGGGGAGGAGAGACAGTAATAGAGAGAGGGCCAGGGTGGAGAGGATGGAATGAACAGCGAAGAGAAAGAAAAAAGAGGAAGGGAAGAGCAGAGAAAGGGAAAAGGAAGAGGTGAGAAAGAAAAAGATGAGACAAGTGAGAGGACTGGGAGAGGAGACAAGGGAGAAAAAAGAAAGGGAAGAAAGATCTTCAAAGGAGAGGTAAAGAGGGTGGGAGTGAGAGTTGGGGCAGCAGGAAGAGATAGGAAAGCCTCCGAGAGCCCTGCCCTGCCACTGAGTCCTGCCCTGCAGGTCCCCGTCCACCAGAGGTCATAGATCATCCTCACTGGCGGTGGAGGAGAGGGTGTTTGCAGAGGCCTAGAAATCACATTTCTGAGATAACATTACTTACTCATGAAAGGAAGGGTGCATTAGGGGACAGCGGGAGGGAGATGAGTTAATTTGTCTAAGCCCTCCTTGATCCCATTTATTCATGTAATGTATATGAACCTTGCAGTTTCTGCCTTGCAAACTTTCTACAGCCTACCCACTTTCCTACAAGCCCACTCCCCCTACTTTTACTTCTCATCCCTAAAACTGACTCTGCCGATTTTGAACTGAGTGTGAGAGGCTAGATGGATTTGGAATCCAAAGCTCTATTGGGAAGTAGAAAATCCTCTTTTAGCCTCATATAAGGGTTACCTCATAGACCTCAAGCAACACACTTAGCTCTTCCATGGTTTTGTTACTCTATAAAGATGTAGGTCATAATATAAATCACTATTAGAAATTAGTGTTAAAGACAAAGAACTTTTTCAAGTGGACACTGTTTCTGTCCTACCATGACTTGTGGACATCGTAGACAAAAATAGCAAAACCACAGAAGAACATACATGAAAAGGAGATGAGGAATTTGGTGGGGGAGAAATGTGATCTAACACGGAAAGCCATTCTGGTCACTGCTGAGAATGTAGAGAGTTCTTATGCTGTTAGTTTTAGAAAGAACGTTTGGGGACAGGAGGAAATTCAACAAACATTCATGTGTCATGCACTTTGCTATGTGTTGGAGACACAGAGACAGATAAAGTGGATTCAATGAGTTAATTTGTCTAAAGCATTTAACACCATGCCTGTACATAGTAAGCAGTCAGAAACATATGGTAGCTAATACTAATTTTTTAGGACAATGATTACACACTTGGACTCTAGGTTTGAATATCAACTCTGCAGCATGTGATGTGGCAAGTCACATGAATGCTCTAGGCGTCTGTTTCTACAACTGTAAATTGGGGACGATAGTATTGTTTGTGAAGCACATTTTAACATGTAGCCTGGCACATAGTAAGCACAGTAAAGGTTATATATGTGTATTAGGATATGGTCATGGACCTCAAGGAATTTCATAGACCTGTAAAGGAGAATGCCATTAAATTCACTATAATCTGATTTGTGCAAAATAGAGATGAGTATAAGAGGTAAAGGTAACAGGAAGAGGTTTGTGTGTGTGTAGTTTCCTGAGCAGGGTTTAGAAGGAAGAATAGGAGCTCCATAGATACACAAAAGAGAACACTGCACTCACAGGCAAGTGCAATGGAATAGTAAGAAGCAACCTTGTAGGGAAATAAAAATAGTTCTCTATAGTCCGCAAGTACAGTTGATCCTCATTATTTGCAGATTCTGTATTTGTAAATTTGCCTACTTGCTAAAATGTATTTATAACCTCAAATCAATACTCATGGCAGTTTCATGGTCATTTATGGCATGTGCAGAGAGGCAAAATTTTTTAGTCACTCTCCTGTTTTTAGATCAAAGTGACACTCTGCCTTCTTGTTTCAGCTCTCATACTGTAAACAAGTATTTTTTTTTCATGATCTATTTAGCATCTTTGTGCTTTTTGTTGTTGATTTCATTGTTGATATAGCCGCCATACTGCTGGAGTGCTATCTAATGTTATGTGCAAGAAGGCTGTGATGTGCCTTGTGGAGAAAATATATGTCGCACAGCCTTCATTCAGTCACGAGTTACAGTGCTGTGAGTTCAGTGTGAATGAATCAGCAGAAGATATCAAATAATGTATATTTAAACAGAAACATACATAAAACCAGGTTATATATTGATTGGTTGATGAAAATGTGAGCAGAGGCTCATAGGAACCTACTCCTTTATTTCCCCTAGGAGCAATGGTTCAGTATTTGCTAATTATTTGTGACAACTTTATAGAATATAACAACCTAAATAATGAGAACTTATCATAAAATGTGAGAAATACTTGATTTCTTTGAGCTGGCTGTGCTGTTGTCATCCTTGCTTCCCTTCCATATCTAAGCAGTCACCAAAATCTGTCTTAAAAAAAAACCAACTATATAAAGTTCAAATTATATAAACTTCCAAATGAATAATCTGATCAACTATTTTGTTTTTATACATTCTGGTCATAATTGTTTGTTTTCTATTGACTTATTATATATTGAAACTCTTATTAAATTTTAATCTTTTATGAGTGATTTTTATTTAATTGATGAATACTTACTATCTATGATACAGCATTCAAGTGGCCTCTCAACTGAGTATTTGATCAGTTAAATGACTGTACCTCTAGGTTTGCAAATTAGAATCTGTAGCTGGGAAAGATTCTTATTTACCTCTGCTTATATAGTTTAAACATTTGCATGATTTCTGTATTTCTCTTTATGTTGCATGTAATACGAGTCTGTCTGACTTCGCTTCACATATTAAAAACATTTGTATATAATAGACCTGATAAAGTGATATGCACAGAATGGTTGTTAAAAGTATCTCTGGTGCATTACTGGAGTAAGACATTGCCTAGGCACTGTCTCTTCCTTATAGCTGGAATGATGGACAGGGCCATTTCACCCGCATCACACTGACGCTTCTGAATGAGAGAGGCCTTTTCTAGAAATTATTTTTCTCTATTCATTCCTGTAGCATTTGCGGAGTTGTATCATTAGATGATTCCATGAGAAACTCTGAGTTGGGGGAAATTTTCTCTTGGGGTATCTTCCCATTCATTGGAATAATGGAATTCTAAGAATCAGAACAACTAGATTTGCCCTTAATAAATTCTCTGATGTGAGGCTACTTCTTATATTTTTATATGTGTATTTTAACTCATCTCTTCATTGCCCAAATCGACATCAGGTAATAAGTGATGATAATTTAAAGCCCAAAAATTCATTCGAGTCTCCATGGAGACAGTTCATGCTCTGGTCTCCATGGTGACACCTAGAGTTTTAAAAGCTCAGGTTAATTTTATGTATATTTCAATTACTTTTCTCCCCTGTCTAAGCCCTAATTAAAGAGCCTGGGCATTTTACTCTTCCCTTCCTCACCCCCCCCCCCGACCACCTCCCTATAGTAAGAAGAAAACAGAAAGAGAAAGGGAAAAAAAGGAAGAAAAATAAAATGCAGTGTTAATTGTGGGGTAGGGAAGTTCATAGTTTTACAGATTTCTACAGAAAAATCATTTGGGTTGGGGAAAGAAATTAAAGAGCTTTCTGTGATGCTCTTCAGACTTACACTCTATTTTGCTGTCTGAACAGGGAGTTCATGTCTATTTAAGGTACTGCACAGAGGAGAACGCGCTTTCAAGGCCACAAGGTACCATTAGTGTGCTTGCAAAGAAAATAGAGATGCATTTTCTAATTTGCTGTATCATTCTTCCTGTATTTATTCAGCAACTTTCTCAGGGACTAACCTGGCAGTATTTGGAGTCCTTCACATGATTCAGGGCCACGGCAGGGTGACCCAGTCCTTCTCTAGCCAGCATCCTTCTCCTCACATCTCCAGTACACACTCACAAAATGGGACGAAAAGGCAAATCCGAAAGCCTTTAGTAACCACATGGTGCAGCCTGCCTCTTTTTTGAAATCTGTAAATCCTTCCCCTTCCACCAAGCCTCCATCCTCCTACCTTTAACAGCTCAGGTCCTCAACCAAATGCTTATTAACTCCTATTTTATGTACATTTTAAATACATTTGCTTATGTGGTTTCCATGCACACAGCATAGACTTCGGAGAGAAGAGAGAAGAGCCTTTAAAGAGGCTTTTTTGGTCAATAATGAGAAGTGAAAAGAGCAAGCCTCAGGGCAAAGGGTAAGAACACAGTGGGTGCTAAATTAACATTCATCAAAGAAATGAACAAATGAGCAGATAGAATGAACACACACAGAAACCCAAAAGGCACTGGGTTGGGACCCTCTATTTTATACTTTAGAAAGCCCCAGAGGTAAAAGTCTATAGGACAGCATAAATTCATAATAAAACGAGAATCGATTTCTCCTAGCCTGATCCTTATATAACAGGACGACACTGAAGCCTGTTTGCTCACCTCTGTATAAGTGAACTTAGAGTATAATGTGCTCTTCTTCTGATTTGAATGGTGAAGAATTTAAAATTGGGAGCTAAACTTGTGCTCTTCCTACTTGCAGTGCATAACTTATCAGGGACTGACCGATACTAAGAAGATTTTGAGTTTATATAGGGACAAATGAGTTTATACTTTAAAGAGATATTTTGATTTCTTAACTCGTGCTTAAAAAAACAATTCTAAATTATGATATCATGTGACCATTTGAGATGATGTAATAGTAGACCAATGACATGCAAATACATTCACTATCGAGTGGGTCACAGAATTAGAAATTTGCACACAACTCAGATGCATATATAAAATTTATTTTCTAAAATTGATCCTCATGGCTTTCAATTGTTAGTAGGAAAAAATTCAAACTTGCCAACTATAGGGTATCTGTCTCTTCAAGTTTAAACAGCTTGTTTTGATTTAAAATAGTCTCTCAAAATGGTGCCCATTATTTCTGAGTCCTTCATCCTCCACACTCTCCTTTCCCCAATGGCATCTGTGTGTGTGTGTGTGTGTGTGTGTGTGACTGATGTTGTATGTTATTTTGGCGGTGGGGAGTGAGGCCCCCAGATTATGTGTGGGTCCTTGTTCTTGCT